GGACCCAAATTCCGTAGGCAGTCACAATTTGGTTTTTGTCACAGTGGCAATGTAAATAAATAGAGAATAAAGCAACAACAGCAACAACAAAGATGGCAATCACTACATATGGTAAAGCCAACATTTTGGCCAGCATGTGGATGTGCTTATTTCTTCTTTTATTATGTGTACTCGTATCTCTAATTTGTCTCTCTCTCTTTCTTTCTTTCTTTTTTCCCGTCAGCCGGCAAATGTTTGTAGTTCTGTGTGTGGGGAGCACATAAATTAAATTACTTAAGGCACAAAGAAAATGCTGTGTGAAAAACTAACAACAGCTCGTTTGCAGCCATGCTTCTTCCATATACATAGAGAGGGAGCACAAAAATGGCCGCTTCATTGCGAGGGTGGAACAATGAGTAGCCCACTCCATATATAATATAAAACTGATGAATAGCTTATTTTTATGATTACATACAAATAATCCTATTGTTTATGGCAAGCGATTGAAATTGGAATGCAAAGGCATTTATTAGATTGAACTTTCAATAGAAGATCAAGAAAATTCAGCCTAGTCCAATGGTTTATCGATCTGAGAGAGCGTCCAACTTTTCCATTTAACGCCTCTTTATAAGATTTTGGTTCGTTTCACAAATGAATCTCGAATCTCGGCCAGACAAAAGCGCATGTTAAATAGTTTAACTTGTCGCAATTTCTTAAAGCAATAATAAGAAAAGTTGTTGACCTTTTGGTACTTCTAGATCAACCCTCGTGCTGAGCCGCCTCCGCCTTCCACAGTCGCTGTTTTTATGTGCATACGTTGGCAGCCGAAAAAAAAAAAAATTGGGCATCATACAAATGTCAGTTACTCTGCCCTGCTCCGTTATGCGACATCATTATCCATTCGCGTCGAGCTTTGCTGCTTAAATTTCACCCAGCCCGATATGTTGGGTGGCATGCAAATCGTGTGGGGGCTGCTGATGATGGAGCTAATGATGCATTCGATGCTGATGACAGTTGACCCCTACGTGCAAGCCTGCAGCCTGATTGGCATTGCTGTTGTTCTTAAATATACCCTGTTATTTTCTTAATTTGAGTTGTAAACAGGTTCATTAACGAGACACTTAAGGAACAGTTAAAAACTAGCAGCAAAATTTGTTTGAGTGCGCAACCAACGCACTTAAGCATACGCAGTAGTAAAAATTAAGTTTATTGCTCAGTTTCCAAAGCGCAGTTGGCTGAGTGGCAACATTGTCGAGAGCGCAACTTAAGGAGGCATCAAAATGGAATCAAAGCGCACGCCAGTTGCATGCAAATTAAACCAGTGTACAGTGGAACCAGCAATAAGGCATAACATCACAAAACATAATATAACTTAACATAATATTGATTTACATCATTTAACATAACATAACATAATATAACAAAACTTAACCTAATACGACAAAAGATGACATAAACATAACAACATTATGTAACAAAACAAACTAATATAGCATTAGATAACATAAGCTTATATAACATAATATAACATAACATAATGTATAGTAGCATAATATATTGTAACAAAGTATATAATAACATAACGTAACATAAAATACCATTTAATAACATACAATTAACCAACTTAAAATACAAGTACATAACCTTATATAACACAACCTAACGTAACTTAACATAACTTAATATATGTCAACCTAAACTTATCAAAGCTGACATAGAATTGCATAATATTCATAAATAAATAACAAGGCTTACATTACAAAACCAATATCTTTTCATTAGATTATCACATAATACAATTTAATATAATTGTATATTCGAAAAACCTCACAGACAAGACTGTCACATAATAAAAGTTAACATAATCTAACTGCAAAAATGGGCGCTACAAGGCAGTTAAGGTTTTATTGTTTAAATATAGGCATTAGTTATTGGCCTTTTATGTGTTAAGGTCTACTTAACTTCACCTCTGGGAAATCACACTAAAAATGTGCCTGTACATTTTCTTTGTGGATAGCGAAATCGCATTTCTAATTGATCCCCTGGCACATTTTATAGAGCTTGTAGCAATTGATAGTACACATATTTAGGTTCGCATATCGTTCGCAGAGCCTGATTGGCTAAGAGACTTCAGCAAAGGACATTTTGTTCAATGCGCTACAGAAATATATGTATAACTACTTAATCTTATTGGAACAATGTGCAAAGCAGCTTAAATTGCTGTTGAAAATCTCAGCCGAGTGTCCACAGTGAGTGGTTCGCTAGGTTCGTTCTATTTCCCCCCAACTGGCATTTATAATTGATGCAGCCCAAATGAACATTTTAATTGCAAGCTCAAGGATGGCAACAAAGGCAACCGTCAAGAACAAGCCGCTTACGCTTCGAACAAGGGTCGTCGGGTCCAGCCGGATCCGTTTGAGAGCCATTGGATAGGTGCAGTTGAGTGGGCTGGTGGCCGTCGCCTTGTCGAACAGCCACTGTCCCGACAATTAAAAGGCTCGACTACAAAGCGCTTTGCTGTATCAAAAATGATTATATTTTTAGTAACGGACCTTGGTTGGAATGTGCCGCTAGTCAGCACTATCCAATGCCAGCATGAGTCCTTCTTAATTATCTCCACAGACGGTGCGACCCAACAAGCTGTCAGATTTCCTTTTTAAGAGCCCACACACAACGCCCTCAGCATTTTAGAAATATGCACGAGTCCCAGTGGGATACAATTTAAATTGTGTTTACAAAAATTGTACATTTCATTCGAAATAGTTAACAGAAGCAAAGGGGTAAAGTTGCTTGAATGCATTCTCTCTAAAAAGCCACCCATTGGGGTATTTATGCTTGTCTCTTAGGCGACAGAAAGTGTCAAACATATTTAACATACATTTATTATTAATATAATAACAATGATAATGAACATAATATAAATAATAATAAGTAATAGTAATATTTAAAAAATATATTAATTCTTAACTTCGCTTCCTTCTCAAATGCAAATCAAAATAATTCTCTATATCTTTAGATATGAAGCTATCTAATCAAATTGTTAAAAATGTTGCTGCACAATTATTTTAGAACTAATTTTACTACGCCCACTTTCGCCCTCGTAATTATGTGTCACAACTGTTACGAGAAATAGAAAGTTGATAGAGAGATAGGATGGATTCTCTTTCAACAACTTGACCTCGCTTCGTACAGTGGAAACTCTGCTAACGGGTACTGCTCTAAGGAGGAGACGCCTCTAGGACAAACAGCTTCTTTCAAATTAAACAAGTAAGAGGTTCTAGTCGGGAGCTCCCGACTAAGGGATACCCTGAACACTCTTCTTCCAACATCAAATGAATATATATATTCTATTTTAGAAGCTATATTTGAAGTTTGGTGACTCTAGCTCTTATTATTTACCAAAATTGCCCAAAAAACAGGATATCGATATCGATTGCTTGGAAACGGAGTAAGTTATCGATTATCGGAAATAAACTCGATCTGCGCGGGAAATAGGAGCACCTACATCTAAAATTTCAGGTCTCTAGCTCTTACAGGTTCTGATATCCTTGCGTTCATACATACGGACGGACGGACGGACGGACAGACAGACGGACATGGCTAGATCGACTCGGCTATTGGTGCTGATCAAGAATATATATACTTTATGGGGTCGGAGATGCTTCCTTCTGCCTGTTACATACATTTGGATTTTGCACAAATACAATATACCCTTATACCCATTTTTAATGGGTTCAGGGTATAAAAAGCCCTCGCCCATTCCCCCTGTTTTATCCGATTGTTGCTGTCCGCCCAAGTGAGTATTCACTGTAAGTCAAAGTAAACTACCACATCAGCTGTCACATTCAGTTGAGAGCGTCTCGTATGCTCTCAGTTAGTTTTCATAGATCAAATGTTGAATATGCTACACAAGTTTTTCTAAAAAAAAGAGATAGATAAAAAAATATATAAAACGTATCGAGGGTGAATAGTCTAATTAATAAATTTGTGGTATAATGAATCTGAACAACTTTGATGAACGCTGGCGACGCGATCACCCGCACGATAATTACTTACCGCCCTACCTTGGCGGACCAGTCGATGAAATATTCCTGCGTGGCGAATCATCTAACGATCTACGGCCCACAATACCGGAGATGTTCATGGCCAGGCATCGGCTTGTACATAGCACTCCGCGGGGGGTGCCGCCACATAAAAAGCACCCGGGCGCGGGCCCGTTCCGGAATCCGCGCAATCCAATTATCCTAAGAGCGGCAGACGTGGTCGGTCTCTGGGTACGTGTTGGAAATATACCGGATCATATGTTCCACATAATCTATTACTTCTTTACCCGAATGGGAACTCTGGAAACCATGCGAGCATTTAATGAAAGGATTTTCTATGTGCGCTACAAACATCCAAGGGATACGCTCAGAGCATTAAGCTTCCATAGACGGCGCATCATATTTATGGAGCATTTGGTGTGTCTCACTTGCGATTTACTCAATCAGACGGACATTGATAAGATATATGGCAAGCGCAAGCCCGTCTCCGAAGAGGACTCAAATGCCGATCCAGACAAATACGATCCATACTGCACCGAACGATTCGTATATGCCGACGAGTATGAGAAGGAATATAATGAGAGATTCAACACGGACGCCTTTGGGGACCATGGACATTGGTGTTCCGACGAGGACAACAATGATGAATTCTATGATGGCGATGAATACCACTATGCGAATGAAGAGGATTTCTGGAATGTTGGTGCACCCGATAATTGCCAAGCGGGAAACTGGCTATCGACCGTCTGGGGATGGGCCAAGTTCCAGATTGGCTCCCTGATCACATATTTAACATACGATTTGCGTTATTAGTTGATTTTATTTATTATTGTTTGAACCCTTAGGAATTGTTAATTGAAACATCAAAAGTACTTAACGATAAATTTGTTATGTTAAAAAAAAAATAGTACACATATAAAAAAAAACACGCGACATTTACATATTTACACGCAGCACACCTAGAGACAAGTACACCAAGATCCTAACCAACCCTCCTCCTTATAGTTGTGGACTATCCGCAGCGGCGGCGGCGCTGTTCGTGTACACCACAGAGTTTAGCAGCTGATCGTTGCGGGAGCGCGAACGCCAGGTGTCCATGCCCATGGCCAAGCCGGGATTGGGATTCGATAAATTGGGCACGCCCCCCTGGCTGGCTGAGAGAGCGCCGGCCGCTGTGCCGTTGCGTTTCCAAGGCAAGCCCTTGAACGTGTCCACAAAAGCGCGCCGAAAGCTGGCGTTCATGAAGCAATAGGTAATCGGATTGCAGCAGCTCGAGGAATAGGCGAGCAGCTGGAGGAAACTGATCGTGGTGTAGTCAATGTATTCGTACAGCGCCTGTCCAATAAACATGCTCAGCGTATTGATCACGTACAAAGGCGTCCAGCAGATGAAGAACTCTAAAACCAGCACAAACAGCATCTTTACCACGCGTTTCTTGCTCTCCAGCGTCCTAGTCTCGTTGGATCTGCGAATATTGAATGATGAAGCCTGATCAACCATGCTTAGACGCATCTATTGCACTTAATAAAAACATATCTTTTACATTCCTAATATCATTCTCTTTGCTAACCCTGGCACGTATCAGGTCTTTTAGAATTATAAGAATCCCCATTATCCTGCTTATTCTTGTTATGATTGCAATTGATTTAAATTTGAATTTCAGTCATCTTTGTACATTCCTGCCAAATGACCCATTTCATCTGCAATATTCCAGTCCTTGCCAAATCTTTACTCCGTCTGATCTACCATTTTGGGATTCGCTCAGCTTCGGGGAAGACTAAGACATTTCCCCTGCCTTGAACAATCATGTGAACCTAACCTAACCTAACCTACCCGAGCCTAACCATCTGCAAGTTTGGCAACGCCAGGTCATTTAGTATATAGAATAATAGTAATAGAGTATTCACGGGAGCTGTTTACTTGCAAGCTTTTCTAGCAAACTTTCCCAATATTATTTCAAGGTATTTCGTCCTTGCTAATGAAAGGCAATTAAAAAAGTTTGTTTTACAAAAAGTTAATACTAGCTGAGGTTTAATTATTACAGGGTGGCAGCGCTGCCGTATTTAAAATGTAAGGTTAAAATCGTTAATTGCTTTAAACTGGATTTAATGACTTAGCTTAAATCATGTGCGTAATTGTTGATGTGCTGAGCAGAAAGCTGCACTTGTTTGGTAAATCGGGAAAAGCTAATTATGCAAAGTGCTTTGCAATTGAGGCCGCCCGGGGATCTTTGACTGAATAATGGCATTGTGTTCGGTGTCAATCTGATTTAGGGTCCATGGGTCCAATATGTATATGATTTAACATGCATACCAACATAACCAAAGGCTGGCCAGCTATTGCGCTGTCGGCATTCGCTGCCTCGGGTCAAAGGTCAAAGCTTACCTGCGCAATGCCGCATCGTGTATACGCAAACTTGGCGAGGCATTCGAGGACTTGGCCGGTGTCACAGTTGTCAATGTCGTTGTTGTTATCGTTGTAAGTGTCGTTGTTGCTGTTGCTGTTGTTGTAGCTGTTGCTGTTGCTGTTGCTGCTGCTGTTGTGCTTGTCGCGGCGCCATTGTTGTTGTTGCTGCTCTCTGCGGACATAAAGCATAAAATGCGCATTTGTTGTATCCCATTGGGCGTGGATCATGGGCGTGTCTTATACTTATACTTACCATTGTACTCGCTGGCGGCATTCAGGACCAGAACGCAGCTGCTGCTGCCGGGCGTGGCGGCTATGGCCGCCGTGGCCACCGTTTGGGCGCTGCCACTGCTAGCCGGCATTCTGGCATCCTTGCCCACATCCATGCCGATATAGAGAGTTCGCGTAATGAGTATATAGGCAGCACACAGCACCAGCAGCGGCAGGACGAGCAGGATGAGATCCAACATAATGTTGTAGAAGCGCTCGTAGCCCTGGTCTGGCCAGTGCTCGCGGCATTTGCAGAACCCTGCGACAATTTTCATAACTAGCTAAATACCCCAAAGCAGGGCCCCGCCCCGTCACTCACCTGGCCGGCTTGTGGGTATCAATCGACTGAATACCGCTATTGGCGTCATGCACAAAATGCCCCCGAGCCATATGAACCCGATTATCTTATAGGCATGGCTTATTGTCTGCCAGGACCTCGAGCGCAGCGGATGACATATGGCGTAATAACGTTCACAACTGATGGCCACCAAGGTCCACGAGGAGACGGCCACAGAAGACGCTGTAAATGGGGATAAACAGAAATTCGAATGCTTCAATTTTCATACAACACATAAACAATTAGCTGTTTAGGTTTATCAGCATTTCAAATGTTTCTACTTTTATAATTATAATTATTTTACTATCATTAGAATTATTATCTCTCTATACTCTTTCCTATTTACCAAAATTTTCTTACAAATTGGGTTTTGTTTCGCCGAAAACGAAAATTATTCGGAAGAGTATAAAATACAGTGTAGTAAAGCACAGTATGTATATTATATAAAACAGTAAATTATGGCACAATAAAATATATTACAGTTTAGCTTAGTATATAATAGTATAGTATGTATACATATTGTACATATTTTGGCTTAGCATAGTATGGTAGGATTTGGTATAGTTTTGTATAGTATATTATTATGGGATAGTAGAGCATTGTATAGCATATTAAATGTCATAGATAATATAGTAAAGTATAGTATAGCATAGTATGGATATATTTATAGTAAAGTATATTATGAAGTACTATCTATATAGTGATATATAGTAATGTAGTGTATGACGTAGTAGGTTTATCTCATAGTAGAACTGATAGGAATTGCTGTAAAATGGTCGACATTAAAGCTAGCTGGCTTGCAATGTACTGTTACCAAATTGCTGGCATATGGCCAAAGACATAAACTGAAACGCACGCAGCATCTAGGTTGATGCGGGGAGAGATATGCCAAGAGGGGGAAATGAAGGATTGGCTGCTTAAATTTGTAATCACAGAAACGTAAACGTAACTTAAACAGCACGCACACATTTTGGCCATATGTCGTCGAGTTTGGACTTAAGCTGTTGTTCTTGTTGTTTTTGTTTTTGGTTTTGTTTACCATTGCGATTGCGATTGCCATTGCCATGGCCATGGCCAATGCCATTGGCGTGTGCGCTTAGAATCGGGTTCGTTTGTATTTCGGCTGGCTATACAAATTTTGCGGTATTTATGTGTGCTGGCTCCTTGGCGCTTGTTATGCCTGCTTGGAGCTGTCATGGACATGCCCATGCCTCTTCTTTTATTTGCGGCAATCAAATTTTATCGCCCAACTGACGCTTATAAATTTGTGCCTGTCACAGCGCCCTGTTACGCATATTTATGTTGCTCGGCTCACGGCTGCATGTCGTATACGTAATATGCTCAACACGTCGACCAAATCAGGCGCCTAGAAATACGAAATCTGATTTGAAAGCTGAACGCTGAAACCGAAGTCGAAGCCAAGGCTAAAGCTGTGGCTGCAGCTTAACCCAAACCGGAGTCCCATCTCGAGAGTTGGGATTTATGCCTGAGAGTGCTAAGATGCCCTAAAATCAAATCAAATTCAATCAACAACAAAATACGTATACATATTTTTGTGTGCATGTATAAATAAACATAAGTAAATAAAGAAAACATGAAATTGAATTTGTGTTCAATGTTTATTCGACTTTGGCTGTTGCTGTTGCTGTTGCTGCTGCGTGCTGGCGACAGTTTTGCATTTGCCAATTGAATTACATCCGCACGCACTGACGCACACGCCCACACACACTCGCACTCACACACACACATACATACATACACACTTACGGAAACGCACTAAGGCGCTTACAAATTGTATCTGTATTTTAAAATGATTTAGTTGTCATGGCGCTTTAGGCCAATCAATCAAACTGTTGAGCTGCCGCACTTAAGCTAAACAGCAAACATTCCTAAAAAAACACACACACGCGTACTTGGTGTCTGTTATTTATAGTTTATAAGCCGCGTTTTGCATTTATCAGCATAAAAACTTCTTCAACAGCCGATGTGCAATTTCTGGAATTCCCCAGTGCACTCTAAAAGTATGCAACGCTTTTAGCGGAACACCCACTTGTGTCAATAGTGTTGCATCCGTCAAGGCGCCACGGAAAATGTTAACTCGCGGGGCGCAGAAATCATTGAAATATGGATGAAGCCAGCTTCATGTTCGAGCACATGAAATGCTGCAAATACAACTTAAGACTTAAAACTTTAGCCCGTATTTTGTATAGCAATATTTATGAGCTGCAATATTGTTTATTATTTAACTATTTCATTAAAATTTTGAAAATAAGTTAAGAAAATCCTAGGCTCAAATATCTGAAAAACTAACTAAATGAATCAATTGGGTTTGAGCCGTGAACCCCTTTTAGCCTGCAGCCCTGGTATGCAAGTGAAGCGTGAATCCCTTTCAGCGGCTAATTGTTGGTTTTGTAGCCCTCGTATGCCTGCATATTATATACAGAATATATGCACCTTGGATCAGCTTTAACACTTTTCTTCAGTTTTTCTTTATATATCGCAGTTAACTTGAGATCTTATCAAATCAAATTAACATATATACCCATACAATTTTTGTTTAAATATTTAAAAAGCTACAAAGATGTTACTTTTGTGTCGATTAAACCTATTATATAAAGCTGTTGATCTGTATTGCTTGACCGAGTGTCTCTGTCAAGACTTGTGAAAACTTAAATCGTTTTCATTATTATACTCTGAACCCATTGAAAATTCGAATTAGGGTAGAATGTTTTTGTGCAAATGTACGTAACTTGCAGAAGGAAACATATCCGAATCCATAAAGTATATATATTCTTGATCAGCATCAATAGCCAGCTCGATTTAGCCATGTCCGTCTGACTGTCCGTATGCATCTCATGCTGATGATCATGATCTCAGAACCTATAAGAGCTAGAGACTTGAAATGTGCCCGCGCAGTGCTTGCTTCGATAATCGATAACTTGTCCCGTTTCTAAGCAATCGATATCGCTATCGATATCTAAGTCCTGTTATTAGAGTAAAATTCTAAATTGAAGCTTATTTTAAGAGCTTGACGCACCATACTTGATATGTAGATTATATATTACTATAGTCCGGCTAGTGTTGGCGACGGTAGAAAGTTTAGGGTATCCCCTAGTCGAGCACTCCCGACCAGAGAACTCTAACTTGTTTTATATACATATATGTGCTGTTTTTTTTTTTTTCTTATTTGCATTTTTCAGATTGATGTGCTATATAACTTGCGAGACGGCAAATTATAAATTTGCGCAAAAGCTTAAAAAACTTTTCGCCCGTTGACACTTGAGAGGCAGCAAAGTTTTTTGTTTCTTTTTTTTATTTTTTTTTTTGTTTTCGGCTTTTGTTTTTTTTTCTTTAATTATTTTCATTCATTACCATTCAGCTGGCTTGTCGGCAGCTCCGGCCCAAGGATTGTCAACTGGCTGCAGCTGCTGCTAGAAATATTATAGCAGCAAAGTTGTGTCTCTGTCCAATCCCCCTAATTCAAGTCCCCGGCACGTTCCCGACGCCAGCAGGATTCCTTTTGAAAAGCTGACCAAGTCCATGATTAACGACACGTCACAACTGGCTGTGGCAAATGCGTTGCCAGCACCAAGGCCAGCCACAGATAATATGATGGGCATAGAAGATATCCAATCTGAGCAATGGGAATCCCTAAGGCTAGGTAAACCGAGAGCCATTCGGCGGGTTGCTCAGCTGATAAATGAATAAATATGACGGCGGACACCCAGCAAACTTTATGCCTTAATTCTAGTTTGTTTTAAATTTGCTATCATCGGGTCTTAGCTGCGTTTTTATTTCCATTTTCATTACCGCTGTCAAAAACAAACACATGTATTTGCCAAGTTTTTCAGCAAATATCAAAACAAACAACACACAAGACAAATCTTGCAAGAGTTGATTAATTTACCCAGACTTATTTAGAGTATTATGAGTGATGATTATTTCGTAAAAAGTATTCCAAATAGATAAATTTGATATTTGCATCTTGCTTGGAATAGACACTTGTTTCAATTCGCGTTTGAAGGCAAAGCATTTGGTCGCAGGAAAATATAATGTGTTGAACGCTTTAAGGCTGGCCAGGTTCATTCAATTATATTGCCAAAAGTTCAGAATGTGTATTGCCAGAGAAAACAAACTTTTCTGCTGTTTATTTTTTAATTTTATTTGCGTTTATTTATTTTTTTGTATTTTGCTCAATACTAGGGGCTCAGCCTGGGTAAATTTTAATGCTATTATTGAAACTTTGCACAACTTGTTGTTGTGCTGGCAAATTCGTTTAAATTCAATGGATTTAACACATAAGTAAATGCCAGCATTTAAGCGGTACAATCACAGCGGCTACGGCGGGCTACAGGGCCGCAAAATGGCCGAGGGCTACGCCGGCAGAGAAAAACTTTCCAGCAAGCCGAAATCCAAGTCTTGTCGGCACGCCCAAAATTCTATTTAACTGAAAAGTGAAACAAACTTGGCAAAGTGCTTGACGCCCGCCTTTTTATCAAATTAAGTAAGTATTTTAAAGTGGCTACGAAAGCCTGTGTGTGTGTGTGTGTGTGTGTGTGTGTGTGTGGGATGGGGGGAGGGGGAGCGGATTCGGGTGTATCAAAACTTTGGTTTAGCTGAGCTGTTTTCTAGACCAAACTCATGTCTATCGAGAGGCCTGCAGTTATTCAAGCGTAATTTAATTAAACTTGGCGTTTTGCTGCATACTTCAAGGGAACACGAATTTCAACACACGCATATACAAGCACAAAACACACACGCACACACATACTGAATGCACCAAATGTGCATTCATTAAAAACTTCCTTTCAAACGTATCCCAATAGCAACAGCTTTCGTCAGGCTGATTGAGATTTGTTATAAAAGTCTGGAAAACAGAGCACCAAAGAGTCATTAGCCAAGACATTAAGGCTAATGCAATGCTAATGCTTGGGCCCTGACTAAACGGAACTAAGAAAAGCAAATAAAAGAAAGACGACAAACTTATACATAGTAAGGCTGCAGAGTTTCCATTTATGGGGTTTCTTTCCAGACTTAATGCTAATCCAATAATATAATAATTAAGATAAAAAATAAATTCAATTGTTCTTCGATTAAACTAAATATAAATCGGCCAATAAACTTTGAACGGCTTAGTGTTGGAAAGCTCTCTAACATTAAACAACGTTTTTAAAGTATTTTTT